ATGGCACTACAAGAAATGAGCCCATTTACAGAAATATTGGAGATGATGATGCAGTCTGGCTACACCCAGACTTATAAGCAGTGCCAAGATAAGCTAAAGTAATTGAAGTCCGTTTATAGGACGATTAAGGACCACAACAAGTGGAGTGGCTCGAACACAATGACCATTTATGATACAGCACAATTTGCATTGACAGTCCCACCCAAAGAATGGGGAAACAAGTCACAATGGAAAATCGCCTACACCTGAAAAGAACTGATGAAACGAGAGCTGAGTGGAGTTGCACTTATCAATGCCAAAGTGTCTATAGAATGGTAGGATGCCAACAGGCTATAAAAAATTGTGTTTTCAGTAAATAAGCCTTCAACACAGAAATGTCTAACTGTACAGCTGCACACCTGTTGTCGTCCCGGGTGTATCAACCTCCTCCTGATCATTGAATCACCCCCAGCCCTCCATCTAAATGTGGAAAATGGGTCGTCCTGGCCTCCTGGGGATTTACCCAGACATAACAGCGGTCAGGCCTGCTTAGGCTGGGTTTGAGGAAGACTCCTCCGGACTAATTAACAACCTTCATCCACAGGACACACCCTTATCTCACCCGATGGTTCATCAGATCAAGTAGCCGTGACCTGCATGTTCACCACAGTATGCCCTGTATTAATGGTCGCTCTTCCTCTCTTGACGATTGTAATTGGTATTCGGTCTGGCAATTTTTGGCTCTTGGACTCAAATGCCCTAAACCCCCATCCATTTGCTCCCCTGAGAGCCCTAGATAGCAGCTCTCTACTCCACATTGAGGGCTGTGGTAGCTCGGTGGTCTGTGGTTGCATCAGGAAGGGCATCTGGTGTAAAAATAATTACCAAGTCTTTGTGCGAGTTAGTTCACTGTGGTGACCCCTGAAGAAGGGAGCAGCCGAAAGAAGGGGAAAAAAAGACTCAAAAACACCAGGATGTTGTTTTAGTTAGTTATTCAGCTATGAAACCCTTAAATACCTCCTAAAAGAAACTGGAACCCAAACACTTCTCTATACCATTGCCTTCTGTATAAGCATGAACATTTATTAGATGGAGCGCAATGAAAAAATCCAACATTGGAATCAATTCGGACTGCTGGACCCAGTTCTGGAGGGCACCCTGGGAGGCAGCTGCTGTGGTCCTTATTATGGTAAATGGACTGTACGTATTTTAAGCCTTTCTATCTTATCAAGATACTCAAAGCGCCCTACACAACTTATTATTATCATGCTGCTGACTGGACCTGCTAACGCTGCAAACAAGACCAGACCGCTAACCAAACCATGATGCCAACGGGACCTTGTTAAGATAACCTCACTGTCATCAGAACCACTCTGCCAATAGGACCATGCTGCTGTAGATTTATTTCTTTTTCACTTTTGGCACCTTGTTTCTGGATTTTTGTTGCATGCTTTGAATAAATCCCAGTTTATGTTAGTTTTGGGGCTCTGAGCCCGACTCCGCTCGCAATAAACGTGAAAATTGGGGGAGTGGTGGCGCAGAGGTTAGAGAAGGTGGGCCTGTGATCGGAAGATCGCCGGTTCAAGCCCCAGTACCGACAACATCAAAAATGTGGGTGGGGTAGGTGAAGCACCCACACCTGCCTCCACCCTCATTGGCCCCACTCTGGGCCCATGAGCAAGGCCCTTAACCCCCACCATCTGCTCCTAAACAGGTCTCTCTTGAAAATGAGTTCTTGTGGCTCAATGAGACTACCTGTATAAATAAAGGTAAATGAAAAAAAGAAAAAACTTATAGCTGAACTGAACCTATGAGAATCATGCTGCTGTTGTTCGGTGTATTGTTTTGCAATATTAGTGACTAGCATATATCTTAAATCGTTTAGCTTTTGACGTTCATTTAGCGTATATATTAGTTGATATCTTAGATTCGTATTTACTGTTTCTTTTTACACTTTATATTTTTGTTATTGTTTGATATTGCTGGGATCCTGTGTACACAATTTCATTCCACCTCATGTGCCATGCAAATGACAATAAAGAACCTTGAATCAATCATTTTGCTTCAGGGTACACTTATGGATCCAAAGATGCAGCAGCAAAGTGGTTACATGAATCTTGAAGTAGATACATAAGGTAAATAGTAAATAAGCCAATATTAAATATAAAATCCTGCTTCCTTCTATAAGAACATTTAAAACCTTAACTTTAACCTTCCTACCAACCTTGTTGCCTTTCCCTGAGGACCATAGGCGTTGTAATGTATCTGTTTGGATTTTTGCTGGGGTGGAAGGACTCAGTTAACTGTTCTTACCTCGTATTCCATAGGAGCGGTCTTCCAGTGGAGAAAGAGGTAAAAGTTGCCCCAATCATCTAGGAGATCTTGCTTCACTGACATCAACTCAATTCTTCCAATTTGAAACTTGATCTTGAACGATCTGGAAATTAGACCCCCGCACAAAGACCTCCTCTCGGCTGGATCCAGGCAAAAATCCTTCTCACCAAACTTTACTCTTCAGATCTTGATCACATTCTTCTTGATGTCGACATATCTCTCCACCTGGTTGTCTAGAGGTCCCCATAGTCTAATTCAAAGATTTTTTTTTTTTGTAAACTACTTTTATATTCATTCAGCCTTTATTTATACAAGTTAGTATCATTGAACCACGAGGACTCATTTACAAAAGAAACCTGTTTTTAACAAAGAACACAGATGAGGCACAGACAACAACAGACAATCATATAAAATAAGTGTATAAAATGAAAAAGGAAATAGAAGCAGTGTTATAAAAATGAAACAAAAACAGCTACATTTACATACATAC